GTTCATAAGTTAGATGCATATAATGTCATTTTAGGGTAACATTGTATGATAAGAACGTATTTTGAGTCATTTTTTTTGTATCGATGCTCAAATGCTATAACATTGTGGCATTTACAAATTTTTTCGTGTTTGAAATTGTGAAGGAAATATCATCAACCTTATTGTATTTTCCTCTGGTTTGAATTTGTAACTTGTATCATTTTTGATCCAATTAGATTTGTGAATTAATTTATCCATTTGTATCCATGTTGTACTGCGAGATGTAGAATCGAATGTCAATTTGATGCTTGAAAACTATTTCTTACCATGGCCCAAAACTTGTGATTTTAGGTGGCATTCCTTCTATACATTGTGACTATTTTAGTCATTGATGATACTTTGTTATATGTTGTTGTTTGCATAATGTTGCATGACATCGTGAATGAATGGGAAATTCATTTACGATTTCATATGTTTGATAAAAATGTGTTTAATACTAATTATTTTGCCTTTGATTGTTTATCATTGAAAGTGACTCGTTGGTTCTTGTTAATTCTGTTTTGGGTGTTTGTGCTTGCTCGTCGCTTTGCTTGGATTATATGAGGAAGATTAAAGCTTTTCTTAGTAGTTTGGAGTATCAATTGGTGCATGTATTTCGAGAAGCAAATGTTGTTGCCGATAGACTAGCTGGTCATGCTGTAATGGGTAAGAGATCTATCAATTTTTTGTTGGATCTAAAGCTACCTAGTGAGGTTGGGTTAGCTTTGTTTTTTGATCAGAAAGGCCTACCAGTTTTGTGTAAGAAGAAAACTCTGATTTTTTATGATAAGTGCTAGTAGTTAGGGTGGTTTGTTGGCCGAAGTTGGAGTGTTATTNAGCGGTTTCGTGTAAGAAGAAAACTCTGATTTTTTATGATAAGTGCTAGTAGTTAGGGTGGTTTGNACCAGTTTTGTGTAAGAAGAAAACTCTGATTTTTTATGATAAGTGCTAGTAGTTAGGGTGGTTTGTTGGCCGAAGTTGGAGTGTTATTTTGTTTGAAATTTGAGAAATGGAAGAGAGCTGTTATGATGGTATCAGACTGTAAATTCAGGGGTTGACTGTCTTCTTGTTGTCTTAGATTGTGGCTAAGTTTTTTGGTTTTGTTTTGTTAATTTTGTTTATTTGTAATGGGAAGGTGTATGTGTCTTTCTTCTGCTTCTTGTAATTCTTTGAGTTGTGAGTAAATAAAATTTCTCTTTTTTGTTAAAAAAAAAAAAGTGGATGTTTTGAGTTAAGGAATTTTTGGATTTGTATTTTGTAGTATGAGATATAATAAATCATATTTAGGATAAAACTTGAATTAGTTAAAAAACATGTTTTTGGTTTTTGTTCTTATAATTTGATAGACAAAAATGATACTCAAACATGTTTTCTGTGTTAATGTTTATCACAAANACAAACATGTTTTTTGTTTTTGTTCTCATAATTTGATAGACAAAAATGATACTCAAACATGTTTTCTGTGTTAGTGTTTATCACAAAACAGAGACAAAAATTATCTCTATTTTTTATTGTTTTGAAGACGCGAAAACGAAAATATTACGAAACGACCCTTTTAATGCACCTCTAATATCCAAAGCAATATCGACATCCTCCTAAACCTCTCGATGCATTCATTCTTTTTAGATTAGATCAACAAATCATGAAGAACCAAGGTTGCTTCTTTAATGTTCTATTTGGTACAATAGAAAAATTGAATGATGTAAAGTTAGAGGGATAGAAAAAATATAACGTTTGGTAAGAAAGGAAAATATGACGGATGAAAAAGTGGATGAATGAGCTTCATTTCCAACTCACCATAATCAATCCCTCCAAAATTAGGCGAAAAAGGCAGGAAAATGGTACTTGATAATGGTGGATTTAAGCTTGGGCTTGAACCGCCCATTTGGGGTCCAAAACTTCCAATGGGCCGCCTTGAAGAGCAACCTTAACGACCCACCTACAGCACGCCCGCTTCATCATGAAAGTGGATCATAGCCCAGGGCATGAAGTCCAGGGTCATCCAGATCTATATATATTTGTTTGGTCGTCTCAAGCACGGTAGAATGGACCAGTTCGAGAACTAGGAGCTCGGTACAGGATAGATGCAACTCTTGTCGCGCCACGTATCTAGGGCACAGGGAGACAACCTCTAATGACCCTAACGAACAAATATTCCATGATAAAGGAAACATTTGGATACATTCCATTTTGAAGACCGTGGACACACAATGTGTTAGGTGGCAGACCCGCTATAAGACAAATGAAGAGNTGTATATATTTGTTTGGTCGTCTCAAGCACGGTAGAATGGCCCAGTTCGAGAACTAGGAGCTCGGTACAGGATAGATGCAACTCTTGACGCGCCACGTATCTAGGGCACTGGGAGACAACCTCTAATGACCCTAACGAACAAATATTCCATGATAAAGGAAACATTTGGATACATTCCATTTTGAAGACCGTGGACACACAATGTGTTAGGTGGCAGACCTCGCTATAAGACAAATGAAGAGGGGACCACAGAATCAGTCAAGAAAAGAGTCGGAGTCGGAGAAAAATTGTAGACTCCAATCAGAGTTAAAGTCTGCAGTTCATTTCGAAAAAACTCTAACTCTTATTAATTAATAGTTATATAAATTATAAATTATATAATGTATTATTATAAATCTAAAATCCTATGACCAACCCACCAAAATATTTAAGCCCATAACCCCCCTCTCTCNCCGCTATAAGACAAATGAAGAGGGGTCCATAGAATCGGTCAAGAAAAGAGTCGGAGTCGAAGGAAAATTGTAGACTCCAATCAGAATTAAAGTCTGCAGTTCATTTCGAAAAAACTCTAACTCTTATTAATTAATAGTTATATAAATTATAAATTATATAATGTATTATTATAAATCTAAAATCCTATGACCAACCCACCAAAATATTTAAGCCCATAACCCCCCTCTCTCTCACTCTAACCAAAGACACTGTCTCCGACGAATCTCTCTCAGACAGTAACACACACACACTCTCTCTCTCTCTATATATATATATTTATTGTAAAATTTCTGCACAGAAATCTGATTTTTTTTTGTTTTTTTGGGGATTGTGTTAATTTTTGAAATTCCGCTCCGACTCCGATTGGGAGAGGTGGAGGGAATGTATTGCGGAGTCAGAGTTGGAGTTGGAGGGGAAAACTCATTCCGACCGAAGTCGGAATTAGAGGTCGGATTGGTGTCTTCCAATTCCGCCTGAGTCGGTGCCCACCCCTAATATTGTGAAGTGCTTGACAAGTGTGAACCTTGAACCTTCGGTGCTTCGTCCAAAACATGGCAATATTGTACAATTCAAAGGGCTTTACACCAACATTTTGTGATACATTTATAATAGCTTTTCTAGTTTGGTTTGTTTTTATTTTTAACTTCTATATCAAATGGAGTCTCTTCTTGATGGTTTAGCTCCCCCTGTCCTCCATGGACATTTAGTTGCTGAATGATAGACTAAATCATTTCTACAATAATTCATCTATTAACAAGTAATTAGCTTGTTAGTTCATCCAATAATGTATAAAACTGATCATGTGAGAAGACAAAAACTCCCTTGGTTGTTCCTGTGATCATAGGTTTCCCGGTATGCTCAATAGGGTAATGCCTAACATGTGAGTCTTCAACACATTTATTAATTATGGCAAGGCAACCACAGATAAGGTCAATCCAATTGGTGAGATAATCCAGNTATAAATTATAAATTATATAATGTATTATTATAAATCTAAAATCCTATGACCAACCCACCAAAATATTTAAGCCCATAACCCCCCTCTCTCTCACTCTAACCAAAGACACTGTCTCCGACGAATCTCTCTCAGACAGTAACACACACACACTCTCTCTCTCTCTATATATATATATTTATTGTAAAATTTCTGCACAGAAATCTGATTTTTTTTTGTTTTTTTGGGGATTGTGTTAATTTTTGAAATTCCGCTCCGACTCCGATTGGGAGAGGTGGAGGGAATGTATTGCGGAGTCAGAGTTGGAGTTGGAGGGGAAAACTCATTCCGACTGAAGTCGGAATTAGAGGTCGGATTGGTGTCTTCCAATTCCGCCTGAGTCGGTGCCCACCCCTAATATTGTGAAGTGCTTGACAAGTGTGAACCTTGAACCTTCGGTGCTTCGTCCAAAACATGGCAATATTGTACAATTCAAAGGGCTTTACACCAACATTTTGTGATACATTTATAATAGCTTTTCTAGTTTGGTTTGTTTTTATTTTTAACTTCTATATCAAATGGAGTCTCTTCTTGATGGTTTAGCTCCCCCTGTCCTCCATGGACATTTAGTTGCTGAATGATAGACTAAATCATTTCTACAATAATTCATCTATTAACAAGTAATTAGCTTGTTAGTTCATCCAATAATGTATAAAACTGATCATGTGAGAAGACAAAAACACCCTTGGTTGTTCCTGTGATCATAGGTTTCCCGGTATGCTCAATAGGGTAATGCCTAACATGTGAGTCTTCAACACATTTATTAATTATGGCAAGGCAACCACAGATAAGGTCAATCCAATTGGTGAGATAATCCAGAATGGTGTCAGATCCTTCTGTCATATCTTGGAGTTCTATAGATAATTTGTGGGTGGCTATTGGGAGGTTTGAAACAGAAATGGATGGAGCAATGAGAAGAAGACAAGAAAAACAGAATATATGGGAAATTTCAGGCAAAAAGAAAAGCAGTAGCTTGAGGTTCAACGTGACTTAAAAGTGATTTCTCTGTGCTTAATGTATGACTCAAAAAAAGATGGTGCCATGGGAGTGATTGTTGTGCCACTAGAAGACGAACAACAATGAATGCTTATAAGGATGCATGGTTTCTCTCTGCTGCAATGAAGAAACTATTTTAATACAGCTTCCTGGTCTTTTGTTTTTTTAGAACTCCTCCCTTGGCAGCTAGTACTTAGTAGCACTGCCCTTCTTAAAAAGAGACACCAGAACAAAGTTTAGAGTTAACCAATGGCATTCACTTTTTTCTGTAATGTTTCACTTCCTCTCTTGATAAGCCTTATGTTCTTCCTACCTCTGATTACCATCAATTCATCTGAGCCTCTGATATCAAGCTACATTGTGCACACTGATAGCCAATCGAGGCCTTCTCGGTTCTCAACTCAAGATGATTGGTATAGTTATATGATCAATACGTTCACTGACCAAAAAATGGAATCACAATCTAGCTCTCGAATTTTCTATACATACAATGTAGTCTTCCATGGCTTTGCAGCAAGATTGACAGATAAAGAGGCTAAAAAGTTCACAAAAGTGCCGGGAGTTTTGGCCGTTTTAGCAGACAAGGTCACGGTAAAGTTAGACACTACCCAGTCCCCAGAATTTCTTGGTCTGCATTTGGATTATGGCCTGTGGCCGGAGACCAACTTGGGTGAGAATGTTATAATTGGCATTGTAGATTCTGGAATTTGGCCGGAGAGTGACAGCTTCAAGGACACTGGGATTGGACCAATACCCTCTAGGTGGAAAGGTGCATGTGAACAGGGAACTGAATTCAATTCTAGTCATTGTAACAGGAAACTCATTGGTGCAAGATTCTTCCTCAAGGGTATTGAGCACTACATGTCTGACAGATTATTGGAAGAACTTGGCGAATATCGATCCCCGCGAGATGGAGTGGGACATGGCACACATACTGCTTCAACAGCAGCAGGATCCGAGGTGGCCAATGCTAATGTATTTGGTTTTGCTAATGGCACTGCTCGAGGCATCGCAACAAAGGCCAGGATTGCCATGTATAAAGCCTGTGAGGTTTTATGTTCCGAGTCTGACTAGTTGGGGTTAAAAATCTAGCAGAACCTTCAACGCCCAGGGCAGTCCAGCTAAAATTTTATGATCAGACAAACATGATTTGTTTTTCCAACTCAAGNCGAGGCATCGCAACAAAGGCCAGGATTGCCATGTATAAAGCCTGTGAGGTTTTATGTTCCGAGTCTGACATTTTTGCTGCCATGGAAAGTGCTATCAATGATGGTGTAGATATATTGTCTGCCTCACTTGGATCCCAAGATGCACCATATTATGAAAATGCAATGGCAAAAGCGGCCTTTGCAGCTGCAAAAAGGAACATTTTTGTTTCCTGCTCAGCAGGAAATCTCGGGCCTCATGCGTATTCTGTTCATAACACAGCGCCATGGATGACCACCGTTGGTGCTGGATCTATAGATCGTACTTTCCCGGTGACAGTTCAACTTGGAAACAACAAAACTTTAATTGGCTCATCTCTTTATGGTAAGAAAATCAATACGGATAGCTTTCCACTCGTTTATCTAGGAGACTGCATTGCTGCCAACATGATTCCTCAGAATGTAATGGGAAAGATATTAGTTTGCAATGGCAGCAAACTCCAAGCCATCAACGATGAGCATCTCATTCAGGAAGCAGGTGGTGTCGGACTGCTTCAACTAAACCATATAACTGAAGGAGAAGGGCTCACAGCAATTGCATACACATTGCCTGCTGCAACATTGGGTTACCGCGAAGCCCTGGAGCTTGTCTCTTATATTATCTCAACCAAAAATCCCTTGGCGAGCTTCAAATTTCATAATCGTACAGTGATAGGGAAAGAGAGGGCCCCAATCACCTCGAGTTTTTCTGCACGAGGTCCTAATCCAATTGTTCCAGAAATCCTGAAACCCGATCTTATTGCCCCAGGTTTCAACATTCTTGCAGCATGGCCTCCTAATATTTCTCCAACCCGTTCTTCATTTGACCCAAGGCGAGTGAAGTTCAATACAGATTCTGGAACATCAATGTCCTGCCCACATGTTGCTGGTGTTGCTGCATTGCTCCGTGCTGCTCACCCCAATTGGTCCTCTGCAGCGGTCAGGTCAGCACTCATGACCACCTCCACAGCAACTGACAATCAGTATCGTTTGATTGCTAGATATGAAGATTTGGAGCCAGCAACTGCACTTAGCATCGGATCTGGACATGTTAATCCACAATTGGCTTCAGATCCAGGGCTAATTTACGATGCAGATATATCAGATTACATCAGGTTTTTGTGCAGCGTGAACTACACCGAAAAGCAGATGAAATTTTTTGTAGAGGCATCAAAACCTTGCTCAGGACCAGCAGGTTCTCCGGGAGATCTTAACTATCCATCATTCTCCGTGGTATTCAGGCCTAACAGCTCCGTTCAAGAGTTAAAGAGAACATTGACCAATGTTGGGGAGCTTCTGCCAGAGGTGTACAAAGTTAGAATTGTCCATCATAAGGTTAAAAAGGCAAATGTAACTGTGAAACCACAGAAGTTGATCTTCAACAAATCTTTCGAGAAGCAAAGCTACAAAGTCAGATTCCAGAGCAACTATGTCTTCAATAAGAGCGGTACCACTGTGGAACAAATGGCTTTTGGGTCCATTTCATGGGAAAGTGAGGGCCATGTTGTTAGGAGTCCGTTTTCAGTGTTGTGGCTACAGTCGTAGTTTTGATTTTGTAATGTTGGAACAAATGAATGTCAAAGTTATGTTGCTTAGCTCAGATAGTGTGCTTTCTTACTGGGGTGGGAATTGATTGTATCAAAGAAACCTTGAGAAAACTTAGCTAAAAGCTACTTTGAATGGTATCCTATTTGATTCTAAAGAAGTTGGGGATTTTGGTAATACTTAGACAGACTAGTTGGGCAGAGCAGTCCAGCTAAAATTTTATGATCAGACAAACATGATTTGTTTTTCCAACTCAAGCACATGTTTGCATAACGTTAGTCGGAGAATCTAATTGCAATGGTTATGATTTCAAATCAGGAATAAGAACTGCTTTTAGCATTTAACTGACAAAATGACAAGGGAATGATCTCTGGACTTGATCCAAATTGCAATAGAATGATATTTGCAGCGAGTCAGTCGTTGACATGCTCAACTGTCATTGTCTTCATGATGCAAAGAAAAACGTGAAAAAACATTATCTATAGCACCTTTAAAACAGGGAAGACACCCTTTGTTTCTCTGCAATTTATGCCTTCTTTTCAAATTATTTGTTTTATTGTAACAATCTTCTTCCAACATGACTATCTGTTTTGGGGATAATTCTACGACTGCTAACCCTTTATCTGCTGCCCATCAACATTATCAGGGGCTCAAGGCTTCTTGCTGACCTACTCATACTCTTTTTAGTATACACCGATTTTCAGTTATTTTTGGTCTTTTTGGGATGCTATAAAGTACAATCTCTGTGTTCATTTTTTTGGAATAGAGACTGGAACATGAAATCTTGAATAGAGAGAATGCTTTATGTCACATTAAGTTCAAGAACAATGTTGTAAGTGATTTATAATGTTAAAATGCCCTGAAAACTACTCCAAGTGTGTGTGCATATGCCATATTGAAGAAAGAAAAGTTGAATTTGAGTATCAGATAAAAGATTCCCTTTGAAGGAATGTATTTTTATATGCCCCTTCCTTGAAATTAACATAGCAAATTAATCAAAGGTATTGACATTATGACTGGCAACATTGTTTTCTGAAGGAAGTCTTCCACTATTTTCTTTGCCATTTCATTCGGTGGATGTAACCCATGATCACATCGTAATTGATCGTGGCGACATATGTGCTTCAAAGCCTTTGTGATTTTAAGGTATCTGAACTGGTTTTGAATTTGCTGGTTGGGATAACAGGTAGTCCTTGGTGTGAAGTGCCATAAAGATGAAAACACATGTTTCGTAAAGATGAAATTTAGAGGCATCATACCCTTTATCGGTTCTAAAGGCATCAGACACCTTATGAAGGTCAGGACAAGAAAGAATTACATCTTACTGATCTGGAAGCTGTCTTTGCTTCTTCAGTCCACCCGAAACTTTTCTATAGTCATGCAATGTGTCACTGATGTAGAGTGTCACTGGTGCAGAGTATATATTTCTAAACTCTTTTGTAAGTGCTTGTGAAATTATACTATTTTAGAACCAAGGAAATTCCTCACNTCATTTTTTTGGAATAGAGACTGGAACATGAAATCTTGAATAGAGAGAATGCTTTATGTCACATTAAGTTCAAGAACAATGTTGTAAGTGATTTATAATGTTAAAATGCCCTGAAAACTACTCCAAGTGTGTGTGCATATGCCATATTGAAGAAAGAAAAGTTGAATTTGAGTATCAGATAAAAGATTCCCTTTGAAGGAATGTATTTTTATATGCCCCTTCCTTGAAATTAACATAGCAAATTAATCAAAGGTATTGACATTATGACTGGCAACATTGTTTTCTGAAGGAAGTCTTCCACTATTTTCTTTGCCATTTCATTCGGTGGATGTAACCCATGATCACATCGTAATTGATCGTGGCGACATATGTGCTTCAAAGCCTTTGTGATTTTAAGGTATCTGAACTGGTTTTGAATTTGCTGGTTGGGATAACAGGTAGTCCTTGGTGTGAAGTGCCGTAAAGATGAAAACACATGTTTCGTAAAGATGAAATTTAGAGGCATCATACCCTTTATCGGTTCTAAAGGCATCAGACACCTTAATGAAGGTCAGGACAAGAAAGAATTACATCTTACTGATCTGGAAGCTGTCTTTGCTTCTTCAGTCCACCCGAAACTTTTCTATAGTCATGCAATGTGTCACTGATGTAGAGTGTCACTGGTGCAGAGTATATATTTCTAAACTCTTTTGTAAGTGCTTGTGAAATTATACTATTTTAGAACCAAGGAAATTCCTCACTGCTTGAACTCTACTTGAACTTCGTCCTCTTAACTAGTCGTGGTTTGCTGTACCTTCCCTCTATATCATGTCTGTTATAACTTGCAATCTGTCTCTTTAGATGAGCTGTTGCTGAGAAAATCAGTTAACGAACTAATGCATGACTTGCTGCAAGTTGTTCAAAAACTTGTTTCTATCAAACTTGTAAAAAGTTCAGGCCATGTGATTTTTTATTTTATAGTACTTGGCTATTTATTCCAACAATCCTTCCAGTGCTTGTTATCTTTGGATTATGTTTCTGACCCTTCACTCTTAATTTGATTTTCTTGGCAAACCAATGAATTACTTGTCTATGGGATATGTGGTGTAATTTTACAAAAACTGAAATCAAGACGAGGCAAAATGGCTTGACAAAATGACTTTGAAAACATGAAAACTGCAAGGAAACTGGTCATGAAGATGAGCATAAACAATTTCAGAAAACTTCAGCAGGCAAGATTAGAGTTGAAGCAGAAGAAGAAGAAGCCGTCTTGTCTGCTGCTCATGCAATGATCACTCAACTATCTGGCTTGGTATGTGTTTTGGAACAGAAACATATGCAAACGTTGGCAATTATAGTGAGCATTGTTTTTTGCAAGACAAATTCAATTGCTGCAAAATTGTCACACTGTGGCTGCTTGCGGGGGATCTTCTTAAACTAGATCATTGAAACTATATGATATCATAATGGGAACTCATGGGGACCTGACCATCAGAATTAATAGCTTACTGAATGTGAGAAAATTCGTACTTAATTAGCCAGTGGGTTCCAACTTCTAAACAGTAACCGAGCANGAAACTCATGGGGACCTGACCATCAGAATTAATAGCTTACTGAATGTAAGAAAATTCGTACTTAATTAGCCAGTGGGTTCCAACTTCTAAACAGTAACCGAGCATTTGGGGCACACCCATTGAATATTGAATTGCATTGCTTGAAAAATGAATAAATACATACTATAGGGGCAAGACAAAAGTATGACAAGATTTACAGTTTACGGCTCAATGAGGGGGATCAAGTTACGACTAAAACAATGTTAAGATCAATTGTAAATAACTCTATTATGTTGAAAACTCTTCATATTGAGTTGTATCCTCATTATTATTTTGTAATAACTTTAGTGACGGGGCTGAAAAATAATTCTTGGGTACATACAGTAGATTGCCTCATAATATATGCATGCAATATAAAACATCAAAATTCATTCTATGTAAATAGAGTGCCGATATTGATTCAAAGATGTGATTTTGTCTTTTTACACAACTCAATGACTTGATAACTAGTCTTATGAGTTTTCACCATGCCGTCGATTCATACCTCTTAGTACTAAGTTAGTTGACACAAAACTCAATTATACAACATGTTATATACACGAGGAACTTGACACTATTCGACTATAAACAGATTTTTGAAAGTAGTGAAGTAACTTTGACATGACACCCAGTTCAACTTGGGAGAGAGATGTTGAAGGAAATATCACACATTCTTTACTTTATTTTTGTTTATGATTTACTAAGGGAAATAGACGACAAGTGGATCCGTGGCGCAATGGTAGCGCGTCTGACTCCAGATCAGAAGGTTGCGTGTTCGATTCACGTCGGGTTCAGTTTTTACTTTTTGCAATTTTCCATTTTTGGCGTGGGCATTTTGGTCATTGCGTTCTTAAACCCATCTTCTCTATCCTCCCGAAGCCCAAACTCTTCCAACAGCACAGCTGACCCTCTCTCTCTGTATCTGTCTCTGTCTCACACACATTTGTTCATTCTTCCAGAACCACCAACCAGTCGATNCTATCCTCCCGAAGCCCAAACTCTTCCAACAGCACAGCTGACCCTCTCTCTCTGTCTCTGTCTCTGTCTCACACACATTTGTTCATTCTTCCAGAACCACCAACCAGTCGATAAATTCACACTGACAGATACACATACACCAATTTTGGCAGAGACAAGCCCCTAAATTTGCCACTCATACAAGAACTAAATGTATGATCACTTTCTACCCTCTCCTCCAAATTCATCACAACCCCGCTAAGATGCCTTCAAATTTATCAACAGTGTCTCTCCAACTCACCCCAATTCCTTGTTTCCCGCCCAAATTCACCCACCCATCTTCACATAATTGCAGTAGCACGCACCCATGTAGTAAGAAGAGACCCAGTTACAGTATCTTGTGTGTATCGACCCGACCCAAGAGAAAATCGATCTCCAAGGCCGATAAGAGCTCAGAGGCAGAAGAGATGGTTCGTTTGCTGATGAGGAATTTTAGTGACAAAAGGCCATTGTTGTCAACTTTGAACAAGTATGTAAAGATTGTGAGGACTGAGCACTGTTTTCTTCTGTTTGAAGAGCTTGGGAAGACTGATCAGTGGCTTCAGTGTCTCGAGGTTTGGCGTTTTTGGCAACCCTTTTGCTTTTTATCTCTCTATTTTCTAAGAAAGCTTGTGCATTTCTAAGAAAGTTGTTGATTTGTTGCTAATATGATAAGACGAGGAAGAAAAGTGCAAGAAAATAAGCAAAATTCCCTCTTCTGGGGGGAAGCCCTCTGTAATAGCAGTTCAAAGATAACTCGACTTTTTTTTGTGGACTCCAATAAATACAGCCAAGATAGCATTATCAGCTCCTAATAATCAGCCATTAGATCCTAATTCCTAGATATACTTCACTCATCCGATTTCCTCCAACAATCTTGCCAATCTAAAGTTATTAATTTCTAAAATCCTGCTAACCTTTCTCTGCTGCTTAGTCTTCTCTTC